TACAGTTTATTTGGTCTGTGCTTCCTACCCAGGCTCAGGTTATATCATAGAATAAAGGATGGGAAAGAAAAACTGCTCTGAGTTATCTGCTTCATGCCTAAGCACATTAACCCTTTGCTATCCTGTGCAACCCAGAAAAATGGTGACTTCTTACCTCTTCCGCTTGCAACCATTTGCACTGCTACTGAATCATTACTCTGATAGCAGGGTCATGGAACAAGGTATAATAGGGGATGAATACTAAGACAATTTTACTTTATTTATTTACTTTACTTTTCTCTGATCTCATTCAAGTACCAAGCATTAATCAAAGTCTCACATTTAGTATGTGGCTTAGGCCTGTAGAAGAAGCAGCTAGGAGACAAACCCCACAGTTGCCAACACACAAGGTGAATGGATTTAAAAGGATTTTTTAAGTACTTGAGCAATGAATGCATAATTTCATCCCCTGAATTCAAGAATTCTGCGAGAAAACATTTTCCAAACTATGCATAATCTTGATACCTCTCTAATATTGAATGATACTAAAATTTGCCTTTCTTTTCCTAAGCTCTTTTAGAAGGAATTGGAGTATTGATGAGGATTTTGCTGAAAATGATGTAATATGATCGATGTCACTTTCAACAGCTAAAGCACAGAATATAAAAAATAGACATAAATAGGGAATTTGACTAACCTTGTCAACATCTTGTTTTCTCTTTCATTCCAAAGGTATTGGAGTTTCTGAAGCCTTTGAAAATTTATTCTCTCCTACGGTTTTGAGAACTTTTCGTTTGGCACGAATTGGTCGAATCCTGAGATTAGTTCGAAAAGCTAGAGGAATTCGAACTCTTCTTTTTGCATTACTGATGTCTCTCCCTGCACTGGTCAACATTGGTCTTTTGCTTTTTCTGATTATGTTCATTTATGCCATTGTGGGCATGGCAAATTTTGCCTGTCTTCCCTTTGAAGGTGGGATTGATAACATTTTCAACTTTCAAACCTTTTGTGGTAGCATTCTCTGTCTCTTCCAAATTACGACGTCAGCGGGCTGGGATAGCCTTTTGGCCCCTGTGTTAAAAGAATCAGATACATCAGATACGTGTGCTCCTGGATTAAATTTAAAAGGCAAACAGAAAACAAGTTGTGCAAATATGTGGGTTGGTATTTTATATTTTGTAAGCTATGTCATTCTATCATTTCTCATTGTTGTAAATATGTACATAGCTGTCATTTTAGAGAACTTCAGTGTTGCCACTGAAGAAAGCACAGATCCTCTTTGTGAGGATGACTTTGATATGTTTTATGAGACTTGGGGAAAATTTGATCCTCTGGCAACACAGTTTATTGAATATTCTGCTCTTTCAGACTTTGCAGATGCTCTGGCAGAGCCCTTGCGCATTCCAAAGCCTAATAAAATTCAGCTCATAGCCATGGACCTCCCTATAGTTAGTGGAGATAAGATCCACTGCCTTGATATCTTGCTTGCTTTCACTAAAAGGGTCTTGGGAGAATCTGGAGATTTGGATAGTCTTGAATTGCACATGGAAGAAAACATTGTGGTGGCCAATCCACGTAAAAGTTTTCACAAGCCAATTTCTTCTACTCTTAAAAGAAAACAAGAGGAGGTATCAGCTCTTATTATTCAAAGGGCCTTCAGGAGGCATTTGGTAGAGCGTTCTTTTAAGAATACATCTGTTTTACACCATCGTAAAGATTGTAACAGCACTGTCTCTGGAGAAGAAACACAGGACAAGCAAAGTCTTATTGAATCAATGCATACTGAAAATAGTGGTAGGAAGCTAGATAAGCCACGGCCTGCTTCTTCCATATCTCTCCCTTTATTTTATGATGGTATTGCTAAAACAGATAGCAATAAGCTGGACACATAAGGTTTTCCTAGGCTGCAGCATTTTTGATTAAACCATTGTCAATTATTTTCAGATGGAGGCAGTATCTTGACCCCAGAGCATAATATTTGGAATAATGATGGAAGCCTTCAAGTATTGGGATTGTTCAAATATGCAAATGCTCCTTAAAGCAATTAAGGTTTGAATAACTATGGCATAAATACTAGAGGAAAACCATACTATGGAATTTTTTTCCTAAGCTACTGAAGTAGGTGAGTCAATTTTTACACCTGTCATTTTTTGTATTGTTTCATGTGTTTACAGAAGAAATGTAAGCACAGACTTGTAAGCACACAAGGCTATAGAACAATGTCTCTGTCTTTAGACATAACCAAATTTTTTCTAACCAGGCTTTATTGTAGTGAAATTAAATAATTACTCCACTTCTGGAAAAGGGCTCACTCAAGACACTTGAGTATAATCAACCACTAATTTCCATGTTTTTTTGGGACCATCCTCCTCCTAGTGTCCTTGGATGGAGTTGTTTATGCTTCAGAATTTTTGAGGTGTCTTTACATGTGCACCTAAAGGGATTTAGCAGATCATCCTCAGGTGTCTGTGCTTCAAAGTTGTTTATAATTGGTTCTTTGCATCATTCAGCTTATGAAAATTGTCATAATCATAGTTTCCTAAATCACAGGTTGTTATGCAAGAGGTATTGTTTCCAGAAAATCTCAAGAATTATTGTACATAAAATTTCATCTTTGTACTTTATCCAAATGTCATGGAAAGTATTACTCAGTATTCTGAAAAGGAGTTCATGGTATATCTTAAAAGGCAACATTTATTAAACTTAGAGGGAGCATTTATTTCATTGGTTCTGAAAAAAGTATATAAACAATGTGTGTTAATATTACTTTTACTGAATTTTATGCAGTATAGTTGTTCAGGTGAACTGCCATGATGGCTTCAGAACTACTAATGAAATATGGCTGGTTTAGATTCTTCAATAAAGAGTTCAGATGCTTAACACATTTTTGTCTGTTTTGTAAGAAGTATCTTCAGTTTCATGTATTACCAGGCAGAATCTGTTATTAGAGGGGTAGAACCACAGTAATGTAATTTTCTAAAAGTGGCTACGTTTTATTAGCACAATAAAACTGAAAATATATTACTTTTTACAGGGAATCAGAAAAGATTTAGCATTTTCAGGCCAGGAATAGCAGGAACAATAAGGTAATTACACAATTTATACGGTCATTTCCCTTGTTAAATACGATTTAAAAATGACAGATATAGTCAAATCTAAGCTTTTTGCAGGACAAATAGAGGCACAGGAAAGCTAAGAGTTCATGCAAAGGGACATCACAGTTAAAGAGTTCAGATACAGTAGGGTTTGAACAAGCTTTATTATGATTAAGCATTGGAACAGGCTCCCCAGGGAAGGGGTGGAGTGACCATCCCTGGAGTGGTCAAAAAACCGAGTGGATGTGGCACTTAGTGCTATGGCTTAGTGGGCGTGGTGATGTTTGATCAAAGGTTGGGCTTGATCTTGGAAGTCTTTTCCGACCTTAATGATCTTATGATTACTTCCAGAACCAGCTTCTCTTCAGAAAAGAAAATGTTGTAAAAGAAGGTCTGCAGACCTGTTAGGATAACTCAGGCAATGGCACTCGGGGTGAGCAGCACTGGGCAGTGGGATGCAGAGATACTTGGTGGGTCTCCTTGAGACCTGCACCTGTCCAGCTTGGGTTGCGTTATGCAGTGATGCTTGTCAGGTGAAACTGTGTATTATGTTCGGTGTGAGACGGGACGAGTCGACAGCTTTTGTTCCACGGTCAGACACCATGAGATGGCAGCATTTACTGCGGTATAGAATTCGGCCAGTCCTCAGTGAAACCAGCGTCAAATTTGTACACTTCAGCGGAGAGGTATTAAATCAATTGTAACTAATTTTGAAAGTAGTGTCGCAACTATTTTTTTTTTTATTATTTTTTTCTATCCTGGGCTTTCAAGTTAGCTACAGTTCTCAGCAGGTGCTTGTTTGCTGATTGTCCTGGTTTTTACATATGACAGATTGAAAGACCTTAATGATTGGGAAAAAAAAGGTCTCCTGTGTGCTTGAACCTTCCAGAGGGGTAGTTTCAAGCATTTCTGTGTAGCACTGTAAAAAGAAATGTTTCTTAGAGAAGAGATAAGACTGTTTTGTTCTTGCATATTGGAAAAGAAGGAAAGACTGGAAAAGCCATATAAAAGAATTTAAAACGTTAATCAGTCTGATTTTTGCAATTGAAAATTATTTGTTTGAATGCAACACCAGATTCTCTGCCCTGGATCTTAATTAGAAATACTACAGAGATTAACACTTTATTTCTATTGTAAGGGCAGCAACTCTGGATAAAAATCACACCTGGCACGAACATATTCCTAGTGATGTTTTTACCTGAGCAACATACAAAAGCTCCTGAATTCACTCCAGGGCAAATCTAAAAGTCAGGCCAATTTGCTGGTATTGCTTAAGCATTAAAATAGCCTTAGCATGCAACTGCAGGGTTGAAAGGAAAATAGTAATATCCAGCTGTTGCAGCTTCTTCATGCTAGCACTGCCCAAAAGCCAATTCAGCTGCTGAGTGTAGAGTTTCTTTAAGAAGTCTATAAATGGTGATGAGTTAATAACAGGGAACAGGTGGGAACTTCTGACAATTCCAATACCTGGAACTGTGAATTCGTCCAGGTAAAACTGCCTGAATACATGTTACCTCGATCAGAAGTGATCAGGCACACTTGGAACACAGTGGAAGAATATTCCTTTCTGTTTGTGAAGTTTGATAGATAAATCAGAGAACAGCAGAAACAAAGGAATATTGGATCCCTCCAGTCAGGAAATGCTGTGGGTGTAAATCTCCAAGAGAATTCCTGAGGACCAGCAATAATAATACAAACCAACACTGACTCTTTAGTGGTGGCGACCTCTGTTTTATATTTCCATGTATCACTTTTCCTATGCAGAAATCGTATGCAACTGTGCCCTGGTAAGTAAGTAGGGTTTTCCCTACTTTTGTGGTAGCTCTGTATCTCTGAGAACAGGCTGCATAAAGGTATGGTGGACACTGTCCGTTTACTTTCTGGAGTTCCTCAGTTACTGCTAACCTTGCAATGTTTACACTATCCAGTGTTTCTTCAGGACTCAGACAGACCCTATATGTAGTTAAGTTATTTGAAAGGAAATAACCTCTAGTGGGAGGTGTCCCTGCCTATGGCAGGGGATTGGAACTGGATCATCTTTAAGGTGCCTTCCAACCCAGACCATTCTGTGATTCTATGAAAGGCACTGAAAGAGAGTCTCATCATGGCATCTTTACCCTGAGCATACCAGAGGTTATTCCACTTGACCAATGAGTCATCTGCAAAGTCACTTTCCAAAGCCATCAGTGAGGTAAACATTCTGTCTCAACATGAGAAACCCCCACAACTTAGGTTGTGCAGGAAGATATCCCAATATATGCTTTTCTAGCTCCTGTTTAGAGTGAATGTTCCCAGAAGAACAGCACACCTAACAACTGGAGGAATTTTAGGCAGAGCTCAGGATTATGGCTAGAAGTGATGGACAAGAGGTCTGTCATAATGTGTTGAAACCAAGTAGAACAAACTATTCAATATTTTTGGTAAAAGTTAGAAAGATGGAGGAACTGTGTTTAAGTACTATTGTTAACTACCACCAGCTAATAGCAAATCTGACTTAGGCTGCAGCAGACTTTACAGGCTTACTTTCAGAAGTCTCTATCTCTCTTTCCTTGGAATGTTCTTCCATTTGCTTCCCAGAGATGAATAATAAAATGGGCCTGACACATGCAGACTTGCTCATCTCTTCTGCTCCTCAGAACATGACTGCCTTCAGTATGAACACTTCAGACCCTGCTGCAGAGTTCTGATCAGTACCTTCCATTCTGGCTTTCAGTCCCCTTCTGCTTTGGGGTTGTGTTGGAGATACCTTGAAGAACTGACAGATATAGTGTAGTTACTTACTTCAGGAAGTGTATTGCTGTCCTGGCAGGTAGGATTCCCATGTTTTGAGCAGGTGTTACTCCAGTGAACCTTCTCTGTGGTCTCTCAGCCTTCTTTCTGTTAACTCTTTAACTGCCAAACAGCCACATTAATCAATAACTTGGGTATTATCTGGGAGTCTGTGTCTATCCAATTGGTATTACTTTGGGTATGCTGTTCTAGGCTCTCTGTAGGGTGACAATTAGTGCAAATTAACAAGAGATTTTTTTACCTGCTCACCCCTGGGAACCAAATGATGAATCCTCTGTAACTTCTACAACATTATGTCAGATTTCTTTCTGCAAGTCTCTTCAATACCCTCACCCATTAGAAATATTTGGAGAAAGATACTGAGTGCTCTCAGAGCTGAATGTGGTGGCAGAAGTTTAGACCTTTTGCTCTGCCAATTCCAGTGAAAATATGTGAAGGCATCAACTTAGTGTGTGGTTTTATTGATCTTCAGAGACTATTGAAAGAGCAATTGAGATGTTTTGGCAACTCCTCAGGAAAATGTAGCTGTTTGGGCAAATCTGTTATAGTTTTCTTCTTTGTGGTTCCATGGAGTTAAGGTACAATAGGCCAAGCTGATTTTGATAATAGTCATTACCTTAATGCAGAGCTGTTAGAGTTCTGGGCAGACTGAGGGCAATGTGGTTTCCTCTTGGGGTTACAGAGAAGATAGATTTATGCAGGAGCATTCAGAAGTTAGAGATTCATAGGTTAGACTTTTGACAACAGCCACCCTACCTTGCTGCCCAAACATGGGATAGAATTTGCCCCCAGAGATAATTTAAAGTAGTCACTAGTAAGATCAGGTATTTTGTAAATTTTCTTGTATATATTCACACCCTTCTTGAAATGAAGAGAGTAGAACTGGAGTTAGCATTTTAATAGTGGTCCTACTATGCTGCCAGCCTTAGCATTCTCTACAGAATTTATCAGTAACAGTTTCATACCCTTGCTTCTACTATCTACTTTTTGTGCCTATGTCTGAAGTA